GGCGCGCTCGCTCACATCTGGCCGGAGCCGGAGCCAGGCCTCAGACCAGACAACTCCGGCAGATCTAGGTGGGGCTACACTGACACTGTTGTTGGGGTTTGCTACTCCTTTCTTTCTTTTATACCTTTACTAGCACAAATGCCCATGCGTTGCAACAGAAAAAAAATACCTGTTCCTATGAACCATGGTTGGCCAGGTCGAGGAACTATGTTAAGTGACAACGGTTGCCGATGACAAAATAAAAAGATGCATGATTTGAGGATCATGACCTGAAGCTTAGAACATGGGTTATGATCTCGAGTAAATTAATCTGGTTGACAATATTTTTTTATGAAAACTTTCGATATCGTGCATTGCAACCGTAGAGAAAAATTGGACCATACTAACATTTATTTAGAATTATTTATCAAAAATACCTCCAAAATTCATATAAAATTTAGCTTTATGAAAATATGTAGCAATCATCTTGTTATTTGATTTTGAGCAATGAATTGGATTTTTACTGAGTAAAACAGACCCAAAAAATAGACAAATACTATGAGCACTTTAAATATATGTTCAACCTTTAAATTCAAAATCCCATATTTGTAGTTCAACCCTAGCTAAATTCTAACCTGATTGGAGTTTACATTTATAGAAATAAAAATACGCACTAAATACTAATGAAATATAGATTTGATGTAGGCTTGCTTTTGATTTGCTAGTAGTCTTCCATCGCGGTGTGTGTTCATACCACCTTGTGTCATGTATTTGTATTGACAGTTAATTTTCACATGTGTGATCATTTATTTTTCTTTTTACGAATTGTTTCGGTCAGTTTTGCCACCTTGGGCATTAGTCGAGTCTTGCTCAGTCCGTGTGAAAATGAAGATGCATTTGTGTGCTTGCCAAGAGACAATTGAGGCGATCCTAAAAAAATCAATAGAGGCAATGTAAATCAATTAGGAAACTAATAGTGTGTGTGTTGTTGATTATGAAAGAAATCAGATTGTATTTAGTACACATGAAAGTGATAGAGTTGTATATATATATCTATTTCTTCTGAGTGGAGTATATTATACATCTATTAGTGGTGCGTGTGTTTGGAGGTCAACTTCCATTTTCCCCTTTCACGGGAAGATCTATCTTTTTCTTGGTATACATGTAGGCGATCAATCTGTGATTGGATGGTTAGGAGGACAGTGGTATCACCAGCCCACCAGAGTTTAAATTCTAGACTTGACATTGGTGCTCATATTCTCCTTATTTATTTCAGGCATTTCAGCGATGTACATTGAGTGTGAGGAGACATTTCCATCGACTATAAAGGCGTCTGTGGCGACTTCGTCAACCTCAAGATAACGTACAAGCTCAGTCTCTCGGAGGTGCTCATAGAGATAGAGTGTGTGCATGTTTATAGGGTTGAGTGTATGTGCATACGTATTAGCATCTACATCTGTACTATGTTAGAAAACCTATACACACCATTCACTCAAAAAAATATTACACTGATTCATTAAATGATTATCCAGGAGTTCTTATTCGAAGAACCCTTGCCTTTTGTTTAGCTTGAGACTAAATCATCATGGCTCTAGTATAAGTCTAAAGTTTTAATTAAACTAATTCATAGGATCGTAACAAGATAATTTCTATAC